ATTCACAGGCTTTTTTGTCTAGATCTTGTACAAATGTTGTTTCCTATTTTATTGGTACGTTGTGGGCTGTTTGATTGGTATACAAACTTATTATGTTTGAAATAACTGATTCATATTGCAGAGGCTAGGCAGGAAGAAGCACCGATAAGAACTGTAGATTGCTCGTACGTGTTTTATGCGTCATTGATCCGGTTGATAATTCACTGTTCTGTAATTGACGGTATTACATTATACATTAACAAGGCATACAGATTACAAGTTATAAAATATTTATAGGAGCACTACCAAATACGAGTATCGTCATAAGAGAGATTCACTAAACCAGTCTACGTTTTCACTCGTAGACTCAATATCTAAGTTACCGTTGTAGACCAAAATTGAAAGGCAATCTGATTTGAAACAGTTGCTTGTATTAATAAATTATAGGTTACTATATTAAGTTTAGAAACAAATATCCAGCTTGGTCAATACCTTTTTAAACATGTATTCACCGTATCCATATTTAATATGAATAAGCAACGCCAAAATGCCCGTCAATTATTAAACGCATGAGCTGTTTAGTCCAACCACACAGTTTGATCAGTGTTGTGTAACTGATAGTTTCAGTGAATTTTATTCCGATAAGTAGTAAATAGTTCATTTGATTGGTGAAGAGCGAGAGAGATGTTCTTTTGATGACCAAAGACGAGTGTGAAAAGTAACATTCTCAAAAGATGAGTTATCGAAATATGGTGTATGCTTTACCATGTATCTTTGGAAAATTCAGTCCAGTAAAATTAGTGGGATAAACATCAAGAGTATTTGCCTGATTGCATTCATCCATTGTAGTGGTCTTGAGTGCTGTTAGAGGTGTGAGGGCTGTTATCACTTTCCGGTCGCCCATATCGTGAGGGGTTCTTCTGGAGGTATCTGAAAAGGAAACTGGATGAGAGGTGGTATTAGTGACCTGATAGTGTGACCACTGTGCCCAAGGACAACTGCTTGAGGTCGGTAACACACGACCTTTTTATGGGTAATTTTTGTGTTAGCTCCGTAATTGTTGCGGCCTTAACGCCAGAGACGGATATCCGTGGGATAAGGCGAAGTGTGCATTTTTTAGGTCGAGTTTTTCTAACCCCACCCCACCCCACCCCTCCTTGTGTGAAGGCAGCATCACTGTCATGCTGGTTATCTGAAGGAAACAACTTACTGTCTGTCAACTAATATCAAAATCACAGTCTTCAATACGAACGTCAAGACAGTTAGTTCTACTGTATGGAGCTGAAACTTGGAGAACTACTACAACCACAATCAAGATAGTACAAGTATTTATAAACAGCTGTCTACGCAAGATACTCAACATCCATTACTCGGACACCGTCAGTAACAGCCTTCTGCGGGAGAGAACAAACCAGCTTCCAACTGAAGAGGAAATTAGGAAAAGACAATGGAAACAGATAGGAAATGCATTACGCGAATAATCAAACTGCATCACGAGGCAAGCACTAACTTGGAATCCTGAATAGAAGCGGAAAGGTGGAAGATCAAATAACATATTACATCAGGAAATAGAAGCAGATATGAAAAGGATGAATAGGAACTGGAAGGAGTTGGAAAGGATTGCCCTAGGACAGGGTTGGATAGAGTATGCTGGTGAGCGGTCTATGTAAATAATTATGAACCAAGTCCTTAGGTTAGGTATTATCTATAGCAACTATTTCATAAATCAATTAAAAATGAATTTTCGAGGACATCTGTATTCAATAGTTAAATATTTTTGAAAACTATGGAATTTCCAAGTTGAAAAATGTTAGAAATATATGAATGATAAATATCCTGTTCCTCTCCCTCTCTCTTCCCCTCTCCCTCTCTATCTCTCCTCCACCCTCTCTTTATATATATATATGTACATAATAAGAAAATAAATCAGTTTTTCATACTACAGTGATAATAAACAATGTACACTATTCACATTTTCCTTGAAATAATGGAATGTAGTTATCATCTATCATATGATAATAACAAAAATTCCTAAAATAAAATCGGCTTTCAATTATTGATTATTTTACTTGGTATTGTTTAGCTTGTATCTTCCCATTAAGGTTTAAGACTTCAATTGATCAGTCTTTTATTAGCATATATGCATACTAGGCATACTGTTATTGATATAACAGACTGATCAATTGCAATCTTAAACCTCAATGAGAAGATACAAGCCAAACAATACCAAGTGAATTCAAATTCACCCCATTGCACAAGCAAGTGGCTATCAGGACTCATTAGCTAAGAGGAGAATGTGATGGTGTTTGAAGCGAATGGTACTGGGTTCAAGTCCCAGAGTGAACATCAACTCTCTGAGATGCAGGTACATCTAGCTGACCAGTCCCAAATAGGACGAAACGCGCGTCATGGACTCCACTGCTAGCCACTATCCATCATTTATTATTTGTTACCAACATGTTCTCTTTGTTTTTAAAGATAAAAATTTTCAAATGATCTTTATAAAAGTACAATCATAAATAAATTTTCAATTATGTAACTATTTCGGTAGTATTTTTTTCTAAATCAACATTTCTTTTCATATCAGAAGGGGTTTTATGGAGATTTTAATAATTTCAATAGTTGAAATTATGAGTCAATTGAAGCTGAAAAGTCTCACAATAGAACGAAATGGCCATCCAGTGCTTCCAGTTTTTCCATAGTAGTCTAACTTCAATTGATTCATGATTTCAACTAGTGAAATATTTTTTTCTCAGAATGAGGGTTTGTAGAAGTTGTAATAAATTTATTGATTAAATTCATGAGTGGATTTAAGCCAGATTACCATTGAAAATTTGAAAGCGCTGGACAATGGTTTCGTCCCAGTATGAAACTTCTCAGCAATTCATATTCACGATCCCACACTCGAGACTAAAATCTAGGACCTTCGGTCTCACATCCGAATGCTTAACATCTAGATCACTGAGCCGGTATTCAACGATGTTAGTGTCTGACTTAAAAGAATCCATGATATCGCGCGATCGACCACTATTGTCTTCAGTGAGTAACTACCTCAGAACAGACACGGTTTGACTCGAATGGTGACATCTACTTACTAGAATTCCATTAAACACATTAAAGCCAGTCACTAGTGAGCACATGATTATTATTATTATTATTATTATTATTATTATTATTATTATTATTATTATCAGAATGAAGGTTTGTGTAAATTGTACTAATTTAGTAGTTGATTTAAGTTAGATTACCCTAGAAAACCTAGAAGCACTGGACAACCGTTTCGTCTTAATATGAGACTCTTCAGAAATGACATCTAGCTAATTGTTCCTTAAAATATAAATTTATGGTATATGAAGAAGAGATGAAATTCATAGGAAAAAATAGACTATAATTTTGATATTGAATGAAATAAATATTGAATCTTTATTTATTTAGGGACACTATGGAATAGCAATTGATTCCTATGTTGTTTATAACAAGCGTACGTTGAAGCTCTATCTTCGTTTTTTCTTCATTTGTTTCAAGAAACAAAATGTTAGGACTGTTAAGGTTGGTCAAGAGACCGATAAAATTATTATGTAGGATTATTAATTCGATTTAAAGAATATTACATTGGAGAAATATGTTAATAGTCATTTGGAAAACTGGAATAATGCGCTTAATTAGCGATAATAGACCTTTGGATTGTTAAAACTTTTATCTCCCACAAAAAACATCAAATACTTACTTACTTACGCCTGTTACTCCTCGTGAAGGAGCATTCCCCATTGTTAGGGATGCTGAGGAATATACCAATGATTATCATGTTAAGCCTAATGATGTCCTTGGTCTCTAAATGGGCATTTCCTATTGGCCATTATTTATTTCACTCGTTAAATATTGTACAGATGTTGTTTTCTATTTTTATGGTACGATGTGGTCTGTTTGGTTGGTATATAAACAGAGTATGTTTGAAATATAACGATTCATACCTCAGAGGCTGTGACTTGCGCTCTATCTATCAAATGTCTTTATAATTACAAATATAAATAAAAAACGTTTAGTTTTGATTATGTAACTTGTATCAATCTTATTATTTCAATTGAATTGTACCAATTCAAGTTTGACATGTGAAATGCATAAGCTATCGAGTCGCCTTTTCTCTTTATCTCCATTCTTATCAGAAATGTTATAAAAAATGATATTTTCAATAGTTGAGATCATGAGTGAATTGAAGTTAGACCACCATGGATAACCTGGAAGCACTGAAAGGCCGTTTCATACTACTGTGGGACTACTCAGCATCCACAATCCGGCCTCGCGATATCCGAACCCAAGAACTATTAGTCTCGCTCCCGAGCACTTAATCACTAGAGCACTGACTTATGAATTTAACAAATAAAGTACCATAATATCCACGAGTACCCTTCTCTGAGTATAATAATCATATGCTCACTATTGACGGTCGCCAAGAGGTATTTCCTGAAGTTCTAGTGAGAAGCAGTGAGATAGTAATTTACTGATGACAATGATGAATGTGCCACTGAATTTCGTGGATTAGTTTGAAGTTAAACATTAACACCATTGGATGCCATCCGAATGAGTGGTCTCGAGGTTAAGCGATCGCGTGCTAGACCGATGTATCCTGTGTTCGACTCTCGAGAGGTGGGATCGTGAATGTGCACTGCTGAGGAGTTCCACAATAAGACGAGTTGACTATCCAATGTTTCCAGGTTTTTCATGTTTTTCTAGCGTTAATCGACTCATCAATTCCACAATTAAATTATTACAGTTATATTCATTTATACATTAACTATTAGTACGATTGATTAAAAAGTGCCATTTCAACTGATACTTATATAGATGATTTCAATGAGATTGATACTTCTTAATTAGTTGTTTAAAAAAGTATACTAATATGTTTACATGTTGATTAAACAAATAAAACAAACATTAATTGAATATCACATGTATGAATGTAAACAATTAATGAATTACTCACTTAGCAACAAAACTGATTTCATTTTTGTTCATTAACTCAATCAATTGTTTAGTACATTCTCATGATGTGTACCATTATTTTTTCTTAAAGGAAGTTTAAGTATAATTTGTTTATACCTGATTTATAAACCATAGAAAACATAATTAAATTATGCTTACCATAATAATAATAATAATAATCGTAAGGAAACAATATAATGGATAAACTAAGAAGAAGCGTCGGAAAATGCATGGATTTTTCTTTTGATTGAAGAATAGATTGATAGATAGATAGATGTGTGGATAGATAGATCTGTGTTCAGTTACTTCATTGCATAATTATCTAATGTTTTTAACTCTACAATTTCTAATCAACTGTTTGATGTTCTGGAACTTTCCCTTTCAAATTTTATTTATTTTGTTGAGGAGATCCAAAAAGTCCTTGAAACAGCCAAAAAAGAAAGCTCTGAAAACGTTGAGAAGCATCTTATCCAATTACCATTCAATAAAAGCACAGCCAGAAACATCTAGAAAGTGAAAAGTTACATATTGCTTTTCTGATTAGATGATTACCTAGACTGCTACTATGTTTAGTAGCATCCCAGAATATTCTGGAAGTCCAATGCCATATAAAATGCTATAATTACCTTAGATTTTCTGTACATAATTGAACCATTGGAGTAAAGCATTTCTTCCATATTTCTCATCTTTTCTCTCGTATTCAAGTTGCTGTGTAGATTTAGTCAGGGATTTAATAGAAGAGGTTAGGTAAATCGAATCTGCCGTTCACTTAGAACACTTATCATATTTATCCGAAACAAACAATTTTTCTAATCATATTGAACTCATTCGGAATCTTCACTACATCATAGTACACATATCTTCATCTCGAATCACCTTTGTATTTATAAATATGTCAATATATGTAATAACGTTGATTTTAACTATTAAGTAGATTGTAAGTAGCACATGAAGAGGAAAATGAGAAAAGTCGATGGAAATCGATAGGAAATACATTACGCGAATCATCAAACTGCATCACGAGGCAAGCACTAACTTGGAATCCTGAATGGAAGCGGAAAGGTGGAAGATCAAATAACATATTACATCAGGAAATAGAAGCAGATATGGAAAGGATGAATAACAACTGGAAAGGATTACCCAGGACAAGGTTGGATAGCGAATGCTGATGAGCAGCCTATACTCCTCGACGAGGAGTAACAGGTGTAAGTAATTTTGTAGGTAAGTAAGTAGCATATGAGAACCTAACGAAATAAAATGAATTCAGATTATTGTGCATCAATTCATATGTAAAAATGCAAATTTTCACATCCAATGAAAAACCAGTTTATGGCACATTGATTAGAAAGATACACAGTTTCCAGCTAAGGAACCGACACTGATGAATGCTTTTAATCCATTTAACCTAATACTTTTTGGAATTGGACGTAAGCTCTCCTTTTGATTCTACCATTGTAACTGATTTGACAGATACATGTGAATTTTTACATACAGTTAGTGGTAACATAAAAGGAATATTATAGTTTGTTCCATTGAGAATTACAGGCGTAAGTAAAATAAGCAGCTGATGAGAACTTGACGAAATAAAATATTGAATAGGTATAATTTTTGCAGCTCATTCGACATCTATTAAAATCGATTATTATTTACATCATAAGCAAATGTTAAATACAATCAAGTGAAAGGAAAAAACATAATGAAGTTACTGTCTATCTGTGATGATGAGACTATAATTTATGGACGACCTTTAATGAACGCCAAAGTGACCTTGAGAGTATCCATCTAGTAACTAAGACCAAATGAGGGTTCTAAGCCAATGTTAGGAATTAGAATAATGATTTACAGTTAATGGTTAATATCAGGAATTAGATTTAGGGTTTTCATCACAAACTGACATCAGCAATAATGTCAAAACTCTATTTAGCCAAATGGATAAGTAGATGTTACGCCCAAATCCTAGACCTGTTATCTTATATCTGATGGATTCGTCCATAAATTATAGTCTCTCCAAATGTAATAGTAATGTATTCTATTTTGTAACCTGGTAATTTTGCAACAATAAATAACACTGGCTCTTAAAATATACCATAACTTATGATTGTATCATTCATAAAAAGATAGCATTCGATGATACAGTTAAAAATACAGTCAACAATTGGGAATACATTATAGTCTTACAAGTCCTTAGTGTATTTAAATCAAAGGTTGAAGTTTTTCACGTCCAACAATATTAAATACCATTTAAATGGAGTTGAAAAGCCTACACCTAGGAGTTATAGTATCAAACTTCCTTCTGACCTCAAATGTTTGAACTATGAAGACGAGTGATATCAATACTAATCCTCATGGAGTTCTCTTAAAAGTTTATTAGATATATTTTTCCAGTATTCACAATTGACTGATCACTGGGTGGTGATCAATTTCATGTATGTAATTTTCTTCTTAGTACAGATCGAATCCTATTGATCAAATTGTAATTTGGCCAGTAGTCTAGGTAACTCGACATTACATGCACTACATTGTGATAAGATGGTGATTGGAGTTAGTCATTAGGAAAACCTAAACCCAGGTTTTAATCGATCACTTATACATACACAAATAATATTGTAGATCACCAGCGTAGATGATCCATGTCGAATGATTGGGAACCTATTGAAATTAGACGGGAATGGTGTGACGATCCAGCTAACATCGAAGTCACACCTCGTGGTCAGCACCTTATGTGGATTGCCCCATCGAAGTATCAAGATACTATAGATGCTTTGAAGACTGTACAACACAAATGACATTATTACAGAAACACATTATTTAAAGTAGATACACGCGAAAGTAAGACCACCACCGTATGGGCCAGTTCATGGAGTACGATTAACTGATGTGCGTTGGTCGTTCTTGACCTTGACAGGGATAGATGATTGGTTCGATATTCAGTGACCCAACTGCAGAATGATTTGGCTATGGCTTAGTGACATTTCACCGGCCTTACAATGTGTATAAAACCAATGATTATATCAGAAACAAAGTTTAATGTTTCATTTACAGATGATCTGGAGGTCGAGGGAATGGAACCTTGTTTTCTTATTGTAAAGAATAATAGAGGTAGTATTGTCGTGTTAGTCATTAGTTTTAGCCCATAATATATCTTATTCTAGTTTCCGGACATTCCATTCTATTCATTCTACTTGAGTAATATTTTGACCTTGTTAATTATTCGCTTATTAGCCTTGACTGTTTTCATATGAGCGTATATGTGTGTGCCCTTCTTATTCCATTAATCACTGTATGTCTGCAGCTTTATTTTGTCTGACTATAAATATTGAGTAATGCCCGGCTTGAAATGGAGTTGGCTTCCCAGCCATCTTCCCTGCTTGTCATTTTGCTGTGCTCTGTTTCATTCGCTTCAAATACAAAATATATGTATTTACAAGTCGATTCTCGTTATTCGACTTATTTAATTCCGTTATTGACTAACACGATTTAAGTCGACGATTATATACGAGAATAGGCGATAACAAACATTCGTATGATCTTGGAGTCAGATCCACGGGCCACTAAATTGGTAAGACCTTCAACGAACATTGCCCGATCAAAATGATGGCAAATAAAAGGGCCCCACTAAAAGAGCCTACGTCCGATTCAAAGAACATATTCCGAAGACTTTAAGATCGAACGGACAAAAAGCATTCAGCAGTGCCAACGCAAGACATCTCCTTGACACAGGACATGAAGTCGATTCACTGATTAAAAAACCATCAAACTCAAACCTTTTGAAATTTGCCGAACCGATAGCAATCAAGCGTCTAAAACAAAATCTATGTATACAAAAAGAAACAGTAACAAATCTTTCTTTGCCCTGGTAACATTATCCCTCCTTTTATTTATTTATTACGTCATTCCAACTGTTTCTGAATTCTAAAATTACATCATTTATAACCGACTGACTTCAATTCATACATTTCTTTATTACCATTAATCTATTTTCAGTTACTTCATTCTATAGTCATTTAATATGTTTCATATGAATTCCATGAGTTCTAATCTATATTTCAATGCTCTGGAATCTTCCCTCTTTAACATTATTTATTCGAAACAAAATTTTATGACCCCATTAACTCGATTGGAATATTTGCTACATCATGATACACATGTATTCCTCCCTAATCACCCTCTTATATATATATATATATAAGTATGTCAATAATTGTAATAACTCTGATTTTAAGTTGTAAGCAGCTGATGAGAACCTAACGAAACAAAAAAATGAATCTATTTACTATTCTGCATCAATCTTTGTTCTTGCTCTCTTTTCAACATAATACAGGAAACTATAATGTATGAAATAGGAAAAATAGTTGAATTAGTTTAATAAATTAAATATTATTTACATATTTAATTGTTATTACTAAATATTATTTTATTTTGTTAAAAATGATTTGCAAAACAAAATGGCTTACGTTCAAATCATCTCTGTAGTTCTATTATAATCTTATGCCTAATCACTGACTGCCTTGACATGAGATGTTTTATAGTGTAGGAGTAGGTTGTAAGAAAGCTAAAGGCGGCCAGACCAAAACATGGCAAGAATTCATGAAGCCACTAACAAGTGGACTGAGCCATGTTGGTAAGTGTAGACTTTCTGGTTGTGGACCGCGAGATGATAACAACCGATGATTAGAGACCTTGAATGACATGCCTGAAAATCGGTTGCAATGATGCAGGTGCATCCACTCATTGTGTTCTCCCAAATTCTAATCTTCTGAATTCTTCATATCCTTTTCTTTTTTCTCCTTCCAAATTTATTTCACTGGATTATACTCCTTGAATAACATCTTCAAACCCTAATCTTTCCAATCACTGCTTATACTATTACTACCTATACCACTACAGGATTTGAATCGACAATTGTGTCTGTGTGGAACTCGAACTGATGTACGTACGTACGAAGTTCTACGTGGTTACCGACTGAATGACTTTGTTATCTAAGCTGGATAGTTTGGTCGTGGGGCTTTCACCATTCTTCTGAACGACATCATCAGTACAAACTTCAGGTAGAAGTGGAGTGTTCGAATTCCTCCACATGTAGTTCACAGCTTATCCCATAGGAAGTATACAGGAAGCCGATTCATACAGATCAAATTGTCAACTACAATAGCAACAACCCAAGAGCTCACAAAATCAACTGCGTACAAACTTTTTTCCAGAGAGCGAGGGCACATTGCGACACACTTGCAGCACGAAAAAATAATGAAAAATAACTCAAGACCATTTTTCAAAAAGACAGCTACCCAGTCAATTTCATTAAAAAAAAATACCAGACACATGCATCATCAGAAACAAAGTTAAATACAGAAGTCAACAAAAAGATAATCCTACCATACATAAAAGGCATATCATAAACGACAACGAGACTACTGAAAACCTTCGGAATAGGTGTTTTACACAAACCAACTAAATCACTACAACCAATCCTATGCAAACCAAAGAATGAAATGACAAATCAAACATCATATACAAAATAAATTATGCCAACTGAGAAAAACACCCTCTTTATCTTCGCTCACATGAACATCAATTAACAGTCAAGAGCCATGACATGTCCCCACTTATATCAATGCACGTGGACAACTGCAGACAAACATTCGACTGGAAAAATGTGCAAATTTTGGATAGAGGCGATTCGAAAAACACCAGAAAACTTTTAGAAGCTTGGCACTCAGGCCGATCAGCAATCAACAAGCACATTGAAATTGATTCAATTTACCAACCAATCATGAAAATTATGAACAAACATAGGAACAAAGAAGTAAACAGTGACAGGTTTAAGGTCAACAAGAACTAATCAGCATTGAAGTATACAGGACAAACAATGAACCACATGTAGAGAAATTCGAACACTCCACTTCTACCTGAAGTTTGTGCTGACGATGTCTTTCAGAAGGACGAAGAAAGCTCCACGACCAAACCATTCAGCTCAGAGAACAAAACTCCATCAAAATCATCCGCCTGAGCTACAAATCTTCCCCACCATCTCACAATAAATACTGCTGGACTGGAATTGTTTGACAGGATATCAAAATATCCAAATATCACATCTGTAACTAACTGTACTATAACAGTAGCACACTGAATCGAACTTGATGTCATTAATTAAGATAACTTTCCTGAATGACTTTTGTTAAATGCTAATGACATTCCCTCTTATCATGTGATTTGTGTGTCATCTGTCGGCATGTTCTTAAAACTGTATGTATTTGATGTGATTGAATTTTGTTTCAGTAAAATTCCTATACATAGAAATTATATTCATTCTCATGTATTACTTATGACATTTGCAAATGACTTTATTGACTAGTATTTCTGTGATCTTGCACTTTGTAAATAATTGTCTTTTCAATTGGTTGAAGGTTCGTCGATTTAAGGAAAGTCATGTAATTTAGTAGTATAAACAAAGATGAAGCCGATTGAGTTGTATTACACCAACTCAGCAACCTTCAATTACTGGAATCATAAGTTATAAGTGGATTAATGGTGGCTAGATGAACAACTTTTGTCAACTTATGAAGTCAATGACCACTGGATTGATTTTGTTCGAGAGATATATACTTTCTAATAAAGTTATTTGGCGAATTCTTGATTAATAGTGAAAAATCACTAGTGATATGAATTGAAATTAGTGCCACTGGCGAACACACATTTTTCTCCTCACTTTTGAGTCTGTAATCATTCCACTGATTTTATTGTTCTATCTTATCCATTTCATCAGAACTATGCTACTTATTTTAAGTTATAACCATTATCACATTATTCTAATGAATCTCCAACTTTCATCTTTGTAAATTTCTAATATTGTTCTGACGTGCGTTATGACAATTTTTCACCAATATATAATGATTTTAGACTGTACATTCTCTATGAGTGAATGGTTAACACTAATTTTTTCTTGTCTCAATCAATTGTTTTCGAAGCTGGGAATATATTCCAATATGCTATAAATCAATATAAAGACTTTACTATGAAACAAAATATGAAAATCTAAAATTATACCTTCACTTCAGTTGGTATTAAGTGTATTTTAGCCGTGATAGATTCATTCACTTCAATCGGTTGATCAAGTTTAGCTTGACAATCTTTTAATTTGCCTTCAGTTATTTGTAAATGACGATTAGCTTGCTCTAAAGAAACTTTTGTTGCACGATTTTCTTCATCGTTTGTGCGTAATTCTTGTTTCAACTTCCCAACAGATGCTGACGTACAACTGATCTCTCCCATTATCGCTTCAACTTCCCTACGTACCCAATTCAAATCGTTTACCATTCATTCTTTTTTACGCAATCCTCTTTGTGCTTCAAGATTTTTATTCTATCAAAAATGTTATATTGAAAAGTAAATAATAAAATGATCTGCTTAAAGTGACCAGAGTTTTAAATAAGTCACTACACTATCATGGAATGACTTCAACATGTTAATTTACTCATATTTTGGGTCATTCTGTTGTTTATAAAATCTCAAAAAAGGAATCATCATTATGATTATTATCTTCATTTGAACTATTCTACTCTACATTTTGAAAATGATCAAAGTTCACTTTAACTACTTTAAAGTAGTTCCATATCATTGGTATTTTGTGGCCCGTGGTTCTCGACCCCATTTAGAGCGTATGGAAGATGGCTGGGAAGCCAACTCCATTTTAGTCAAGCGTTACTCAATATTTATGGTCAGACAAAATAAAGCTACAGACATGTGATTAATGGAATAAGAAGGGCACACACATATACGCTCATATAAAAGCAGTCTAGATTGATAAGCGAATAAATAACAAGGTCAATGTATGGCTCAAGTAAAATGAATAGAATGGGATGTCCGAAAGCTCGAATAAGGTATATGGGCTTGGCATAATAACTGACACTACAGGTAAAATAAGTAAACGATTGGCTAAAATATCGTTCACTTATGTATACAGTATAATACATACTTGAAGTGTAAAGTTTGAAATATTTAAAAGCCAACAAGTATGTAGACAAAGGTCAATACTTTCTGGGTAAAATCTAAATAATAAGGATCACTCTGTTTATGGTTCTTAAAAACTTGAATTTAAACAAGTAAATTTCATAACATAGAAATCACATTCAAATAGTTTGTTATTTTTTGTGCTTGACTAAAGTTTTAGGTTATCCAATAAACCTTCAAAATTTCTTCAAGATAAAATAAATTGTAGTCAATTATTTCAGAATGTGGCAGAATAATCTGCTTTGTAATTTCCTGAAGTCAGCGTAGTGTTCTAGTTGATATAAGTAATAACATATTCTAATTCAACTTCTCCAATTACTAAGGCTACCATTTGAGTAATAAGCTGCTATTTTACAAAGATTAGGTGATTCAATAGGATTTATAACAAGGCAGTGCCAATTTCGAACTTTTTGAATAAACTAGTTGTTCTATATCATAAAATAGGAAAATAGTAGCCATGCAATCAAAATTCAACGCCAATGAAACTAAAAATAATGATTTAAAATCTCAAAAAGTGCTTTTATTCAGCAGAAAAAATTTAAAATTTTAACTAAATGGTCCGAAGTATTGAGATACAAACAGAAGGATAACCAGATATCGCGTCATAATTTGTAAATTCTTCCAGTTAACTAACCATATCTGCCAAGGGTTTCTAACTTGATATGAGACGCTTAACCTCATCGATGCCACCTCACTCAGCTACGAACTTAGGAATGAGAATATGGATTTCTCTTTCGATCTTATTCTAAATTTATCCCAATTCTGCTTGCATTTTACGTCCACTTCTTTACTTAGTTTATAATAAACAATTCCTATTGGAACGTCAAACGAGTATAAACTAGGACACATTCTACAGTCCTCAAAAACAGCGAAAACTTCTCTAGTCTTTTGACCACCTGAAAAGTTACCCTCACCACAGACGTTGATAGTTGGAGTAGATAGAGTTGGTGGTCAAAATCATACCACATGCATATCTCTATCATGTCTCTCATATTCCGCTAGTACGACGATTGTCATGGTAGAACAGAGTTTCAAAATAACATGGCAAGTATTCGGAAGTATCTAACATTAGTCTTAAAGCATGCTTGGAATTTCTGACTTGCCTTTCGAATCATACAAACGTAATCACACCAGTTACCATGACCTAGATTGAAACCAGAGTTACGCTTTTGTCATCAAAAGGCAAACTTCAAATACATAAGTGTTAAGAATATTCCGTTAGAAGCCAGGAAATAAGGAGATATACAGTGGATAAATGATGGAAATATTCCTTCTCAATCAATCACCATCATCACCATACATCACAGTGGTTCCATATAGTCAGACATGATGTCTGTGAATGGACTAAGAAGGGCACTGTCACTGGTCGGTGTTACATTCGACCAATTGTTCAAGTGACACGGAACGCTGTGAGAATATGCACAGTATCACGTGGTGGTTGTTTGATATAAAAGACGTTTATTTACTATACGATTCCCCAATACATTTGTCATGTGGTGTTTTAATTTAGACGGTGTGTTGTCACCTAGCTGTACATTTGCTAAAGTGGATCAATTGTCTACTGGTCGGTGAGAGATGTAACACAAGTGACCTCCCTTTTTAGGCAACCGTATGGTGAGTCAGGATCCTACTTAAAAATAACGTCAGGTACTTATTCAATAACGTCGTCCGGCAGCAACCAGTTTCTCTAACTAAATTCATGCTCTCACTTGTAATTCTCTTTCCAACAAGAAAGAACAAAGCAACTTTCTTAGCGTGCAAACCACAATTCACACTTTACAACATTAAATACAGGTTAAGCTACAGAGATGGCACCCATGGAATACATTTAAATAAATGGTCAGTGAATTATCAATTACATTATACGAAGAAATAAAACAGCAATAACAATAAGCTGAGGATTGAAATATACAGTATGAGGACATAACAAATAACAACAGAAAATACTATATGAAGCTCACCGAATAAAAAACTGTCACTTTGGCTTTAAATATGCAGACTTTGTAGACAAAAATGGTGTATGTTCCAAATGTCACTGCTGCTGCTACTGCTCATCAATTAACTTTGTTGAAGCCAATCTCCTTTTTATCTGACTCGAATAAATAATATAATGTTGGGGGATAGATCCCAAAACTCATATTTTGTAGTTTTCTAATCGATTAACTTATCGATTAAATGTTTAAATATTGAATGACAGTCAATTGATGAACTTATCGATTAAATGTTTAAAAATTTTCCATAACAATAATTAATATTTGTATAAATGCGCTTGATTTGTGTGCTTGACCTGACCTGACTTAGTATCTGCTGTTTGCCTGTAGAATACACTTTCTACATTATATTTATTAGCTTTATTCAGTATTGTATTTTTGGTACAATGTAGAATTCTCAGCACAATGTAATTCAACAAGGTTCCGTTTCTTACTTCTTGGTCGATCCTGAAGATAATGTATTGAGTGATCACCAGTTATATGTTAACAGTCCAGTAAATGAACATCTGAATAACATATCGTTTCGCTGCATTTCCAGCGAATCTCTCGTAATAACGTGACTGTCTAATACCTGACAGAATCCTCAATAAACTGTAAGGAACCCGATATTAAAGCATCTAACTTTCAAGACAGTCAATGCCAATGCATTCGACTTAATAAAACACCAGAATACTCGTGCCCGGTTTTGTTCAGATTCGACTCTCATATTAGCTGAACAGTTAAAAGAATCCGAGCGGCTAATCTGCGCGCTTACGAAATTTAGAAATGCTCGTATAGTCTCAGATAAGACCACCAATCAAGACTTACGCAAAACGTACGTGAACGAAATAAAGGTGTTGAGATCACAACAAACCACGATGCATCAACTGCTGGATCCACTGATGCAGCTACCCGATCTCATGTTCTCCAGCACTCTGACTTACCAACGAAGAGTGTTAATTGCTGTTATGCTGTAGTCACATCTGATAGCCAATGTACATCTAATGACGACACTAATCCGATATTACCCAGTTACCATTAGAAGCCCATAAGCAAGTACTTAGTTCTAATGCTACAACTCTTAAAAAATGTCAAGATTGAAAAACCCATGCCACGTAAGAAGAATGTAAGTACAGAACCTTTGGTTTTAGACCCACTATACTTCCGACACAATGTTTTACCTTACGCATCGTAGGGGAGGTATAAGGGCATACTTGATTCAAAGTCTCACAAGATGGCCACTGCAATCATTACGTAAGCAGGCCTAATTTTGGACAGACCACAATGAACCAACGCGCCCTACGGTTATCCTCAGCGTTTTAAATAATAAATCTGTAAGACATAACTATCTCAACACTTTCCCATTGGCAGGATGGATTACTAGGTTTTCACCATCAACCAAACCCCATTGGCAGTGCTTGTCTTAACTGTCCGCTAGTCAAGTTCAACAATTAATGCACTTCATCAAATATGCAGGGGCATCACTCTTTCTCAATAACGGGAAAACTCTTCAACAGGGTATCGTTAAACAGGATGAAGGACTGAGTAGATGCCCAACTTCGAGACCACAGGCTGGATTTCGTATGGATCGATCGTACAGACTGAATCGCAACTCTACGGATCATTGTGGAACAATCAATTGAATGGAATTCTCACTCTACACCACTTCATTGACTACGAGAAAGCATTTGATAGTATGAACAGGACAACACTATGGAGGCTTTTTCGACACTATGGCGTGCCTCAGAAGATAGTCAGTATACACAGAATTCCTTTGATGGATTAAACTGCAAAATCGTGCATGGAGGACAGTTGACAACTCGTCGAGGTGAACCGGTGTCAGGCAAGGTGCTCATCTCACTCTTTCTCCCGGTGATCGACTGGATCATGATGTCACACCTGGGGAGAAGCACGGGATACATTGGGCATCTTGGATGCAGCTGGACGACCTAGAATTCGCAGATGATCTGACTCTTCTATCACACACGCAACAACAAATGCAGGAGAAGACGATCAGTGTGGTAGCAGTCTCAGCAACAGTAGATCTCAACATACATAAAGGGAAAAGCAAGATTTGTGGAGATATCTGACAATCTTATTTTGTAAATAGTTTTAATGTTATTTGTATTTATTTTGCCCATTTTCACTGTATGTACATTTATCATTAAATGACTGTACGTGTTGTTTAAGTGAATGATCTTGAACATACTTTCCGTTGTGTAACTTACATAGCATGACATACTGTTAATTGCTAACAAATACATTGTTGCACACATATCCTCGTTCTACATTCATTGTGATTGAGTTAACTGAAGTCTAATCAATATTATCTATTATAGACTGTGATTGGAAATATATCATAACTTACATGGGTATATTATTGGAGAGTTCATCAACTTGATTGGAATCAAATATTATAATTGTGGATTTTTAGCACCAGACCAATCCAAACTAATCAATTGGTGAATGTAAGTAAATTCCTATTTTCTATGTATTTTTAACAATTGACTTATATATAACATTACTATTGATCTTTAATAACTTTATTAATACTTTTTACGCTTGTAAATTTTCTGGTCTACCACAGATTCTCCGATACAACACAACATGCACCTATCGAATCACACTTGACAGAGTAGATTCGGAAGATGTAAAACCTTTACATCTGGGCAGCATCATTGATGAACACAGTGGATGATGCAGATGTGAATGTGCGGATCGGAAAAGCGAGAGCAGCATATCTACAACTGAACATCTGGAACTCAAAAAACTGTCAACCAACACCAAAGTTACAATTTTCAATACAAATGTCAAGATAGTTCTACGTATAGGGCGGAAACCTGTAGAACTACGAAAGACATCATTCAGAAAATACAAGTGTTTATTAACAGTTGTCTATGCAAAATACTTCAGATCCGTTGGTCAGACACTATTAGCACAACCTACTGCGGGAGAGAAAAACCAGATTCCAGAGAAGGGAGAAATCAGGAAGAAGCGTGGAATAGAGAATGAGAAAGCGCCCAACTGCGTCACAAGACAAACCCTCACATGGAATCAGTCAGTCAGTCTCTCAGTTCTTTTAAACCCTTGGCTTGTGAAAGCTGGTGCTTTCTTAAAGACAAGTACCCATAGACGTGGTAGACGTGACATTTAACAGTTCAGCAATGAAAGTTATCCACAAAAATAAAACACTTTAAAGCATAAATAATTGTACGACTCCAATTCTGTTGATATGCAGTCAAAATTGACTATTAAGTTAGGCTAATTTCGCCCATTATTGGACGATTTGAATGGTAATATGTGAATACTGACCATTGATATACAATTACCTTTCCATCAACATAAAGTTCATCAATACGTTTAGAAATTTCACGTTCAAAACGTGAAGACAAGTTATCAAAGGTCCACAAAAAATTATACAGCTGCTATTTCAGCTAGATATTCAAGGTAGATGAAACATGCAGTACAACTTAAAGTATAGCCAACAGATCCAAATTCATGATAACAGTGTAATTATTACCAATTAAAAAGCTGGGTGACCACAAAGAATAGTGGTTTTGAAGAAAGTGTATTTTTGGAGTGATATTACGAACACAGTGTAAGAATTCTGATGCTGAATGATACACAAAGCAGCATAACAGTTTGAAATGCCACCAGAGATTTAGTGATTTCTATGGAGAACGTAGCGCATAGACTTACACGGACCTACCCCTTTTATTTCAATAAATATGAACGCAAATCATGATGAATTTCAACTTAGAGATGTAGTAACTTAGTTTAGTTGGCACAATGCAACTGTATAACTAGGTCATCGTATGAACTGATAAACATGAGGTTGGCCATCGCTCTGTAATCAATCAACCTTATTGGGAATCGTGATTCATAGAGAATTTCATCTACCATGACAGCTTTCTAAAATCAGTTATTTACTTAAAATATTTTGTTAGTAAATCAGTAATATTAGGCCATTAAACAAATTGGTCAGTAGTTCGAGAAAATGATAGAGTGATGAGCTAATTTGTAAGCAACTAGAAGTGCCTACAGCAAAAGTAATAACCTCGTTATCCTCCACGTCCATGCCGAGAGCTCAAATAACCTAGATTTTCTGATTAAGTCCATGAACCGATTGATGTTAGACCCACCACTGAAAACCTAGAAGGCCGTTTCGTCCTATTGTGGGACTCCTCAGCAGTGCGTGTCCACTACCATGTGCTCACAAGTGACTGGTTTCGCGAGGGAATTCTCGGAGTTCTATTGAGAAGCCGTGACCAGTGGAGCTAATCCGTGCCAGGTAGAGACAGGTATCTACCTCAGTACAATGGGAGATGGCCGCGAAATTTCGTGGAGTGGTTGGGGTTAGACATTAACACCGTTGGATGCCGGCCCATCTCAGTGTTCTAGAGGTTAAGCGTCCGCGCGCGAGACCGAAGGCTCCGGGTTCAAATCCCGCGAGCGAGATCGTGGACACGAACTGCTGAGGAGTCTCGCAATAGGGCGAAACGGCCGTTCATTGCTTCCAGGTTTTCAACGGTGGTCTAACATCAATCGGTTCATGATCTCAATCAAAAACGTAATAATCTTCACAACCCCATACTGATAATATAGATTTTATTACAAGTTAGTCATCTCTTTAGAGGACAAGATTGATAAACGCTTTCGAATTCATATTCCTGCAGCGGCCTTTGATATTATCTGACTTTTTTATTTTCAATTAACTAATTTTGTGGCCCAGGTCTACTGGGTTTTATAACATAAACACAGCTGTTCTATTCAGATATTTGATTTCTGTTTGGAATATAGTCATAATACATACGTATACAATCGCTCATTATTTTGATCATAATTGTGTAACCATTTTCTGTCAAATTAAATTATTAGTAATTGTGACTTTATCCTTTCTATTTTGTATCATTTTCAGCACATACATGTGAAACAATCTTAAACAGATTTAATCATATGTTCTGTATCTTGTTCTTCTCTTTATGATTCACGATTCCATATGGAATATTCATCTAAACATCATTGAATAAAGTATGTTAAATATGTTCATAATTATATTATTCCTTGTAATTTTAGTCTGTTTAGAGCTAATGAGAAGCTATGAAATAGAACGAACCCATTTTATAATCTAGACATTGTTGTTCTTGCACTTACAGTATTTTCAATCTAAAATACAACATTTTGAGACTCTACCTACGGGCATTTATCAGGATCCAGAGCAATACTGATATAGTTTCAACTAGCGTGTGACGCAGCTAAGATGGGGGTCAATATTAGTACGAATGCAATGAGAGTACCATCTTCAAAAATGATGCAAATTAATTAAAGTTTCTAATTCCGATAATTCTTAAGTATCCTTGTTGTTGAAGGCGCACCGTAGTATTATAACAAAAACATGAAACATAATCTATTATCTATTTGTTTTTTTACATAATCTAATTATATTTACGATACTCAGACATCAGTATACCATGATGGTGAAAGTTTCCTAACAAGAATAAACCCAACCTACTGTGATGTTACTAAAGCAACCATCACTTAGGAAGGCAAAACATTATCGCCTGGAAATCAACTTTTATTCAGATTAGAAACAGAAATGCAATACTGTGATAAGATTTCATCATCTACCATAGTTGGTGTCCCACATAAGAGATCTTTCCCATCAGCCGCTTTTGGGAAAGCAATTACATCTCTGATTGATTTGGCATTTACAAATATTGCAATTAAACGATCAAGACCTAGAGAAAATCTGTGTAATGATATAACATCCACTTACCTAACGCAATCCCACCATGCGGTGGAGCTCCAGAATTTAGGGCAGTTAAAAAGTATTCCATTTCACAAGAATTTTCCTGAAATAATAGTGATTATATGCATATATATAAGAAATCTACCTTGAGAATCTCGGTAAAAATATACCTTTGTACCTCAGGATTATGTATGCGAATTGAACCACCTCCAACTTCTTGACCATTACAAACTAAATCGTAATGTAAACCGATGACTTTGCTCGGATCAGTGTACAGGAAATGTGTTGTCTCTGGCGACGCAGCAGTGAATGGGTGATGCACTGATATCCATTGACCTAAAGGAAATGAGTAGTAAGGAACATAATACATCCGATGAAAGAGTAATGAGCATAAATTGACATAAAATTATGCAAAGCAATCAGTAAAACAGATAATAAAGTGGTGATACTAATGAGTCAAAGTGCTACCCAATGATAAGACAATTTGTCCCGGACAATTACGAACATACAAGACATGGCTGGCCATAATAAATTGTAAATTAAAGGACTCATAAACGACCTACTCAAATTAAGGAATTTAATATTCAGTGTAATTTCTGCGGCGAATTTTGGCGAGACTATAATTCATGAATGAGCCAATAAGAATCGAGTAGATGATTTCAGGGTCACAGATATCTATATTTCAGCACGTACAATCAGTTTACAGCGAATCTTAAGAATGACGTCGAAGCTGAACAGCTACAACAGATGGGACTACTAAGAACCTCCATTACTCATGACTGCGGCATTAAAATAACTGTTGAACAGTGTGCAAACTATCGGGACGATATGGTATTTCGATGTAAAATATATTGAAAGAAGTCTGAAAGAACGAGGACTTTTTGAAACAAGCCAGGTACCACAAGATACACGGACGACTGGAGTGCATATTGATACCTATCTAGACTTGGTTACGATGTCATCGTTCACGAGATATTTTTGACCCAACACGATTTCAGAGGCACAAGGCCTCTTTCTAATCTGGGTAAGTTTTTAAAACATGTTAGAGAAGTGTATCCACTCTATTTTTTTGGACTTGTATAATAAATTCTTACTATATGCCAACTGCTTTATGATTGGCTGAAATTCCTCAGGGTCACTTGGAATTCGTTCAAGGGTTTCACCTAACTTTTGTTATTACAGATGGGTAGAAATCAGTCTCTCCAAGTGGATATATTAATATTTCTCAATAGCACTACCAACATAAACGAGGGCTACAATTGCTAAGTGAAAGTTTTTAAAGCAACACATGAAATTTCGGATCTCATAACCACAATATTAGTTTTCTAGTGCCCTATCTTCAAAATGACAGGAGGGTTAGTGAGTGAATAGTCCGACTATTAACAATGAACATTTCACGAATTATGTTTTCATGTTCACAATACAACGAATTCGAAAGAAAACTCGAGATTACATGCGAGAATCTTCTTTGAAGCTTAATTGCATTCAATGTATTCTCGAACGAATTAACACAACAATTAGCATAAAACCAATTCACTACAATATACATCTCTTTTTTTGTTTACAACACATACCCAAGTTATTTTTTTCAAACAATGGAAATTGATTTACCCAAAGGAAATGGAATCCAGGTTCATATATTGACAAACCTTTAATATGAACGGAAAAGCGTAATAAAGTTACTTCTGCCTGAAACCAGAAGCAAGAACTGAAAATCTTATATCAATGTAATATATGCCCAATCGTCGGGGCTACGTGATATAAATGAACAATAAAATATGAATGCTTCTTGAAATTACATATATTTCCAGCATTAAAACTTAAGATAATCATAGGCATATAATTCATAAAGATCGGGCAAGGATAACTAAATCCAATTGGATGGAGCAAAGTATTAGCAAATGAAAGTATGATCTTTAGGCTCTTCTAAAAGTTAAAGATGTTCAAATTTCGCCTGATCGGAAATAAATAACACTGACATGTACATGATCATAAGCAAGGTAAAATATGTTAAGTGTGCGATCTGTTTAAAATAAAAGATCTAATTAACTCATTTTACTGGTTAAAGGATTTCATTTAAAATTCTTAAGGACCCTTAACGTGACCAGTAGAATTACAGATAAGCATGTTTAAATAGTTAAAACTATTCCCATAGAAAAATTTAAAAAATAAGAGAATCAAGGTATTTTGATGGTAAGATAAGAAAAGCTCTGACGAAAACATCGTCATTTGTTGACCTCTAAAATGTATTCAAGAAAGAGGAGTGACACTTCGTGAACTGACTCAGTAACTTTCTAAATGATGTTAAGCATTTGGAGGACAAAAAATAGGATAGACGAATTCCTTCTAAAAAGACGGAAACCGATACTATGGTTTACTGTCTGACATAGTTTTGAATAAATATTCGAGCCGTGGTCAGCGCACGAACAGGCCTGATAACGATTCACTGGCGAATTCAGTAATTACTAATAAACATGGGAAAGTCATCAGATAAACTGGTTATTTCTTTTTTATGTCATGCTTTTCTGTGGTAAACATTTTGTCTTTGGTTAGAAGCATATTTAGGAAATTTTTAGCAAACATCGTCCAGTTAGCTGGGTAGATAATTTCTATCGATATCCTGACACTATCGACAAGCTGGAACCGAAGTAGGTGGCACCCACATCGAAAATCAAATGTTTTAACCGCTAAACTACTGCCCTAATTTTGTTAAATAGTATCAATAGGAATTAAGTTCTCTACCTAGACTGCAAGTTCATTAATACGCTGTTCAGTAGTATTTGTCTGTTTGCGGTTTGTAATGACGTCACCCATTATCAAAGTTAACATTAGGAACAAGGCTTGTTAACTCCAGTTAATCTTCAGTAAGTGATTAGTATATGAAGTAGTTTGCTCATTCGAAAAATACGCAATTACCACTAAAAGAATATAACTGTAGTCGATATCTAAAAGCTAGCTGATCAAATAATGAAATAGAAAAAGATATCACCTTTCGAATCAATAAGCTTAGCGACTTCAACTCGTGCCATTCCCAATGCTTTTAACTAGTAAACAAACACCAATCAGTCTGAAAGGTAATTGTTACCTCAGTTTCTGTATTTCCTTTAATGAAGACGACTAAATCACCACACTCCGGCTTTAATAAATTTAGTAAGTCCAAGTGTTTTGAATTGATATTTTGAACTGAAAAGATTGATATTCTCTATAAAATATGAAAAACAAGTAGAAAATAAGGTAGCCAAATCCATCGAAACACTAATCAAAATTGAACTCAAACAAAACATTCAGTGAACGAGTCGTGACTGAATACAACCGTATATATGGTTGTACACCGTGATAATAGATTCGCTGAAAAGAAATCCCTTCACTGAACTTCGTGTTTTTTTATCAATACAAACTAAATAGTTTCCGAATAGCAATAAGCAGGGTATAACACTGATATTTCACCAACCATTAGGTTTTCCGTTAACTCCAATTAAGTTTCTAATAGTCGATGGAGTGGAATGTTAAACAGACAAACCATTTGTTTTAATTATAATGATTGCCTAACTAAATGAAAATGAATTGATACTTACATTCGATCCTGATAAAAATATAAGTTTGTTTCAACCATTTTTAACAGTATTGGAGTTTCAGACAAATGATGAGCTTATGTTATTGTTTTTAAAAACTGGATTACCACCCACATGTACCAAGTAGAAGTTTGCAAACACAAACTCTGTTGTTAATAAGGGTACGTGGGAGGCTGACACTTCCGAAGACACATCATCAGCACATAAAATTACTATTTTGTTGGTGAGTGTAAACCAACTGGTTGGGGTCTGCACAATAATCATGGTCAGCGGTTGGAGGCGTAGGATGGGATGGGTCAGAACCAAAAAGTGACACAGATTCATTTACTCATTGCCTCTTAAGTCTTGAGCTTAAAAATCAATTCGCAATTTTATTCCTTGAACTAATCCATTCTTTAAGAACAGGGTTTTTCAGTACGCAATCTTTCTCATTATTACCAGTTATACTATTACTTCGAAAAACGTTATTCTTCCTATTGTCAATTTCATCTGGTCTTGGAGACGTAGCATGAGGACTTGGACTGACGCACACATGTACGCGGCTTTATAACTGACCGACTGAGCTGATTTCGTTTTTATGATTGTGTGGATTCTTCGAAATGCATAACATGAGAAGTTTGTTTAGCACTCATAAGCATGTGTAAAATTTGGGGTAAAATCAAGTTTAATAAAATAAAGCACTTAAAAACACCCCGCAGAAAATGAAGATACAGATGACATACTTGGCCCGTTAGGCGAAAAACCAAATCCTCCAAGGAGTCCCAATCTTCAGCACTTAAACTTGATGACTGAAAGAAGAAGAAAGCCAATATTATACGAGATATACACCGTAAACAATAAAGGGCCTGGAGTAAATCCAAACTGTTTGAGGTTTCCACGTTTCTTATTAGAAAAGTGGGAAGAAATTACTACAAAAGGGAAATCAAGTGAAAGAACAATACGGATATTTGAATAAAACCGGGAAAATTGAGGAAATATGAAAAATTATTGCGATCTTAGACCTCAATCAAGAAATCAGCACTTACACAATTTTTTTCGATTAAAATTAACAAACGTTTGGCGAATTGCGTATCGGATACTATGGGGAATGAATCCCATCAGTATGACAATAGGCGTGAGGGGAATGTTTTGCTGAAGGTCATTATCTACTATTCAAAACCCACTAGTTATTAGACTAATATTTTTGTGGAAGTGCTATAAAACCGTGGAGTTCTCACTACTACTCTGAATACCAGGATCAATTTTAATACATTGGTCAACGTTGATGAAGCCATTATGATAAACAACGAACTCTTCACATTGCTGAGAAAACCACTATCTTCTTACCATTATCAAAAGATAGCATTAACAAAGCAGTCATCAGCGGGATATAACCAACATTAAACGAACTCATAAAAATTAGCTAACACGTACCAAGTTGCTCTGAGGATGAAGCTATTTCGAGAAAATTATCTCAACATATCACCGCTGTTGAGCTATGAAGTCGATGAATTATTATTACACTTTTCTATATTCAAATGATACAGAGAAGTGTCCAGATGGACAATTTTCTCTCTAATGAAATATAAACCTGGCATTTATTAACTACATATAAGCTTTCGAGAACCTAGAAAGCGAAGAACCATAAGACACTTACGTATTTCCTTGGTATATTAAAACCGGTGTGTCCATCAACAGCGGAATATGAAAATAAGAAACCAAAGCGTATATCTGGTTTGTCACTTCCATATCGTGACATAGCATCACAATATTTCATGCGCAAAAAAGGTGCCGAAATCGGCCGACAACCTGAAGTGCTCTGAACTGTAGGCCAAATATATAACAACATATTCTCAATTGTTTCATAAATATCATCTGGAGTGATAAATGCCATTTCTATGTCCAACTACAAAAGTTAGGAAGAATGGAAAATAACCTGAGTGAATTCGGGCTGTCTGTCAGATCTAGAAGTCTCGTCTCGAAAACATCTGGCGATCTGCATATATTTACTAAATCCACTTATCATCAAAAGTTGTTTGAATTGTTGAGGGCTTTGAGGTAAGCAGTACCATAATCCAGGAAACTTGGTAGGTACAATAAACTCACGGGCACCCTAAAGAAATAAAAAACTATCACAAATACTTGCCCCTGGAGTAATTTTGAACAAATATGGAGTTTCGATTTCAATAAAACCTATATATGTGAATCACAAAAGATGTACATTACCATTATTTTGACACAAGAAGCTTCGCATTTGCAAAGTGATAGATGAACGAAACCGCATGTTTCTTTGCATATTCGACGAACGAAGATCAAGGTAACGATATTTTAATCTTTCTGTTTCGTTGACCTTAAAATGATTGAGTGATCGTAGGATAACAACTAACATTCGCTGCATCTTTCGGAAGAAAGGAAATTAAAGACGAATGACTGAGGATTTCAATGCTTTCGGCAACTATTTCAATTTCGCCAGTTGGCATAAGCTTGAAGCTAAGATATAACACAAATAACACTACCTTATTTACATCCTTTTCCGGACGTGCTTGGACTTTACCTGTCACTCTCAGGACAGACTCAAAAGTAAGTTGCGGAATTGGGAGACAATTTTTATCACAATATATTTGTATTAAACCACGATCATCACGAAGAACAAGAAAACGAGATGACAGTCGACAATGTTCAAGCCACCCGCATACTGTAACGGTAGAGTTGATATGTCGCGTGCTCAGCTCACCACAAGCATGAGATCTATATACAAAGGCCGGTGAGCTTGAAACTAAATAAATCATATCAAAGTAAAATTGTAACTTACCAAAAGCCTTAGGAATAGGACTTCGGAAAGATTGGTTCAAATTAGGAGTACGAAAATAGAGTCGACTCAAAAGTCTTCGAAAAATAAATGACAACATTTTCACAACTATGCCGAAACAATAGATTGAGGTTACCGCTATATCAGTTCAGCGACCTTGAGTCTTCGGATTCAAATTTGTGTAGTTAGGGCAGAAGGCCTACGGCCTATGTTATTCCCCTTCTATTATGCTTCTGTGAGTGTCCAGTCTTTTCTTGAAAGAGTCAATTGAAGGTGCGAACTCCACTGCCTCGAGCAGTAAATGCGTCTGTGTCTCCAGTTATTACTCGCCAAATTTTTACATCGTCAGCGTATAATAACATTGGCGACTGTACTATACTTGTAAGATCATTAACGTACATTATAAAAAGTAAAGGACCTAGGACGGAACCTTGAGGTACTTTACTAAGTACTGGTCTCCAAATGGAGCACTTGGAATTTATTCTTACTTTTTGCCTACGACCTACTAGGAAATCCTTAATCCATTTTAAAAGAGGTCCGGCAATACCAAGGTTTGCCAACTTCAATAGCAGTCTATTAGTTGGCACCTTGTCAAAAGCCTTACTGAAGTCTATGTAGACAACATCCACTGAGTTTCCGTTGTCTAGCGCATTAATCCAGAGCTCCCTAGCTATAAGGAGGTTCGTTGTACAGGATAGACCCTTTCTAAAACTATGTTGTGCCATGTTCAGCAAGTTATTGGTTTCCATAAATGCTGTTAAGGTCCGTTTGATTATCCTTTCCAGTATTTTAATTACAACACTGGTGAGGCTTACGGGTCTGTAATTTGATGGAACTTGTCGTAGACCAGTTTTATGTATGGGAGTGACGATTGCGTCCTTCCAGTCCATAGGTAACACACCTTGTTCAAGTGACATTTTGAATATCACAGTCAGTGGGGCTGCGATATATTGGGCAATATGTCTCAAGATCTTAGGGTGTAGTTCATCTGGTCCTGTTGACTTCTCCATGTTTAGGGTGCTAAGAGACTTAAGCACATCGTCTTGATCGAAGTCCACGGTGAGCAGGCGGTTTGTTGACTGTTTATTTTGGTCTGGTTCTTTGTCTAGAGGAGGTTCCTGAGTGAAAACTGCCCCAAAATAGTTAGCCATAGCATCTGCTTTTTCTTGATCTTCCTCTATCATTTCAGATTCACTCTCTTCTTTTATTAGTTTGGGAATCCAATGATGCATCCTTGTTCTGTAGTTTATGTACGAGAATATCCTCTTGGACTGCTTGAGTGCAGATTCTGCCAGCTGCATTTCATATTTTCTTTGCGCTTCCCGAATTTTAGTTATACACACGTTTCTTATCGATCTGTAGTGTTCCATCGTACCTGCTGTGCCAAGGCGGATGGCAACATCCCAGCATTTCTTCTTTTGTCTTAGTAAGCGTCGAATATCCCGCCCTAACCAGGGATGTCCGTGCTTCTTTTTCTTTGGGACAGTCCAGGGTATGTATGGTTGAGTTACCCGATTGTATAACTGCCTGAATAGAGTCCGTGCCTCTCGAACTGATGCGCTTGAGTCAATTTCAAAGTTCTCAGCCGATGCTGCGGCGTTAATTGCCTGCATATCTGCCTTCCATATGTTAGGTTCGGGCCGGCGCAACTGTTTGACAAGCAATCTCAACCATGAATTTGAATAAGATGACTGCATGGTCACTTCTCCCAAGTGGTGGGAGAAAAGCCGTTTGACCAACGTCATCACCGTGTGTGAAGACTAAATCTGGTCCTGTTGTTTTTTCCATATTTAAGATGCTAAGAGCCTCAAGCACATCGTCTTGATCGAAGTCCACGGTGAGCAGGCGGTTTGTTGACTGTTTATTTTGGTCTGGTTCTTTGTCTAGAGGAGGTTCCTGAGTGAAAACTGTCCCAAAATAATCAGCCATAGCCTCTGCTTTTTCCCGATCTTCCTCTATCATTTCAGATTCACTCCCTTCTTTAATTAGGTTGGGAATCCAATGATGAATCCTTGTTCTGTAGTTTATGTATGAGAATATTCTCTTGGGCTGCTTGAGTGCAGATTGTACCAACTGCATTTCATATTTTCTTTGGGCTTCACGAATTTTCAGTATACACTTGCTTCTTGCCGATCTGTAGTGTTCCATCGTACCTGCTGTACCAAGGCTGATGGCAACATCCCAGCATTTCTTCTTTTGTCTTAGTAAACGTCGAATATCCAGGCCTATCCAGAGATGGCCGTGCTTCTTCTTCTTTGGAACTGTCCAGGGTATATATGGTTGAGTTACCCGATTGTATAACTGCCTAAAAACAGTACATGTCTCTTGTACTGATGCCCTTGAGTCAATTTCCCAGTTTTTAGCCGATGCTGTGAAGTTGATTGCCTCTATATCTGCCTTCCATATGTTAGGACGGGCCGGCGCAACTGTTTGACAAGCAATCTCAACCATGAATTTGAATAAGATGACTGCATGGTCACTTCTCCCAAGTGGTGGGAGAAAAGCCGTTTGACCAACGTCATCACCGTGTGTGAAGACTAAATCTGGTCCTGTTGACTTCTCCATGTTTAGGGTGCTAAGAGACTTAAGCACATCGTCTTGACCGAAGTCTACGGTGAGCAGGCGGTTTGTTGACTGTTTATTTTGGTCTGGTTCTTTGTCTAGAGGAGGTTCCTGAGTGAAAACTGTCCCAAAATAATCAGCCATAGCCTCTGCTTTTTCCCGATCTTCCTCTATCATTTCAGATTCACTCCCTTCTTTAATTAGGTTGGGAATCCAATGATGAATCCTTGTTCTGTAGTTTATGTACGAGAATATCCTCTTGGACTGCTTGAGTGCAGATTCTGCCAGCTGCATTTCATATTTTCTTTGCGCTTCCCGAATTTTAGTTATACACACGTTTCTTATCGATCTGTAGTGTTCCATCGTACCTGCTGTGCCAAGGCGGATGGCAACATCCCAGCATTTCTTCTTTTGTCTTAGTAAGCGTCGAATATCCCGCCCTAACCAGGGATGTCCGTGCTTCTTTTTCTTTGGAACTATCCAGGGTATGTATGGTTGAGTTACCCGATTGTATAACTGCCAAAAAGAGTCCATGCCTCTTGTACTGATGCCCATGAGTCAACGTCCCAGTTATTAGCCGATGCTGCGGAGTCGATTGCCTCCATATCAGCCTTCTATATGTTAGGACGGGCCTGAGCAACTGTTTGACAGGAAATCTCAGCCGTGAATTTAAATAAGATGACTGCATGGTGGGAGAAAAGCCGTTTGACCAACGTCATCACCGTGTGTGAAGACTAAATCTAGAAGAGAAGAAGAGTTTTTTAAATCAAATCTTGTGGGGTTTCTAATGTGTTGGAATAAAGCTAATTCAATCGAGGTTTTTAACAGTTTGCAATCGAATGACGATATGGATGACCCTACTACTAAGTTAACCCAGTTTATATATGGTGCATTAAAGTCTCCTACTACTAGGCTTTTACCCTTGTTACATCAGGACTTAAATTTACTTAGGAGAAAATCATCTGCTACACATTCTGGACTGCGATATACTACAACTAATCCAATATCTTGCCGTCTACATTTCAGCTTACATAACACTAGCTCACATGTCCTTGAAACATGTGCCGCTGCCTCAGCCACTCTTATGGTTATGGTACTTTTCGTGTACAAAACAACCCCGCCTCCCCTTCGGTTTAATCTATCAGCTCTACTGGTTAGAATGCCAGTCAACTGAATTTCATTATCTAAAACTTCTGGCAGTAACCAAGTTTCCGAGACAGCAATAACATCCGGTTTTTCTCTATCCACTATGGAATTGAGCTCCGCCATTTGATTTAGTAGGTTGCGAGCATTTGTGTAGCATACCTTTAAGTCTGTGGAGAACTTTCCCTTACCACCCAGAGTGGCTTGGGCATCGTTTTGTTCCTAACTTTTACAATTTGAAAACCCTTAAGAACGAGGTTTCTTTCACCGTTTCGGCGGCGCTCATTTATTTTTACTTCTGCAACTCGTCTCTTAATACGATCAGTTAGGCTGAGATCCTCACGGACATATAGTCCGGATCTAATCAGTTTACGTGAGTTACCTAGTATCAGGTTCCTTTCTTCAACCGTGACAAGTGTAACTTTCAAGAGGTGATTTTTCTGAGAACTTTCAGAATCCAGAATTCAGTGGGTTAGTGAACCTGTGTTAATCCTGACAGATTGCTTTCCAGTGAAGGTTTAGCTTTATTTGAAAATATTCACTTATGGGGCTAGTACCGCTTGTTCGGGTAAGGCGTTCCAGTCATTGACTACTCAATGAGAAGAACGGGGCCACATTTTAAGTCTGTGAACCTTCTTGCTATAACCGCGTAGACTATTAGTGCTTAAGGAAGCAAAAAGATAAGACATATTAACACACAAATCAGAATTAAAGATATGAAATGCCAGTGTAAGGTCACCTCGTGTCCTACGATACAACAAAGGGAAAAGGTTTAGGCGTTTTAAACGCTCATCGTAAGGGAGTTTGGAAAGACCCTTCAACTAATTTCGTTCCAACACGCTGGACACGCTCAAGTGAGTTATTACCCTTTACCAGACATGGGCTAGCTGCATGGAAACAGTACTATAAATGTGGTCTTACATGGGTGGAATATAAAATTCGAAACATTTCCTCGTCAAAAGATTTGAACGCTCGTCGAAGTGACCATAACGCACGAAAACCTTTGACAGCGGCTGCGTTGAAATACGTTGTTGTTTTTAAGTCATGACCTAATACTACTCCTAAGTCTTTATGCTCTTGAACGCGTGGAAAAGGTTTACCATCAATAATATAATTGTAATTTTGGAAGAGAAAAAGAAAAGAGACAAGGAGGAATCAGGAGATTAAAATTTGGGAGAACACAAGGAGTGCATGCACCTGCGCCATTGCAAACGATTTTGAGCCATGTCATTCAGGGTCTCTAACCATCGGTTGCTATCATCTCGCGGTCACTAACCAGGTAGTCTACACCTGCTAACAACAGGACTCAGTCCACTTGTCAGTGACTTCATGGACTTGAACCATGTTTTGGTCTGGCCGCCCCTAGCTTTCTTCCAACCTACTCCTATACCACTG